CAGTACTATGATCATATGTCAATCTTTACAATGCGGTTTAAATACTAATTCATTTAGATACCATATAGTGATCATTTAAGTTTGTTAATGATACTGCAAAAATATTTGCGATACGGACGCTACGAGAAACTCAGTGCATTTTGGTCGGGTTGCATGTAATGTATGGTTTTCTTAAATAGAAGATCGTGTCCGACACACTTTGATTTTCCAACTCTGGGTGTTTTTCTTGTTCCTTTTTGAATTTGCTTTGAGTTTGCAATGATAAATTTCCGTTGTAATCTTGGAAACCCATACCCTGCAAAGTGTTTGCTGGTTCTAAATCATTGATACGGGCGGGTCGTAGATGTAGTTCCAATGTTCCAAGTTCAAAGTGTATATTTATAGGTGTAATATACCCGGATCCTCCTTTGGGCGGACAAAAAAATGCTGAACCTAACTCCGGCAAATGTTTCCGCCGGATTCCAAAAAAACGCCGGAGACCTGAAAAATCATCCGGATCCAAGACTCTGAAAACCAGATGTAGAAGGTTGCAGTCATACACAAGCAAACTGCCTTTGCGCCACGGGTCGTTTTTTCTGGAGCACACTCATTCCACAACCCAACACTGGAGCCTTCCCGTTCCCATTGCCCTTGCCCATCTTCCGAATGGCCTAAGAGCAGAACCATCACAAAATATAAGCAAACTTGTGCCCAAGCAAAGACTTCCAAGAAGAAACCAAGGAGTATGTGGCAAGGGGCCCCTATTTCTCTGCAACCGTGTCTCTAAGGTTTTTACAAAGTGAGTTGCTCTCCATGATCCGTATGTTTTTAAATGTTTCTTAAAGCTTGCCTCAGGACGGCCCGGCCAACAAAGTAGCAGAACTCATGGTTCCTGTCCAAACTCTTCTTTGTAAAAAACAACTCTCTCGGAACATTGAGATTCTGAACAACACATGTTCCACAGACCAAAACTTGTCCGGCAGGCTCTGCAAACCTGCGCAGCTAGAACTATACCCCAGCGCCCCGACATCCTGAAACAATGGGAGTACTGTACATGTTCGCCTATGTTCTTTCAGCTTAAGTACACCCACTTGGGTCTTTCAACACGTGCATCGCACTGTACCGATTTCACCCGATTAATTTAGAAGATCACCTAAACGCATCTGATTGATCCAGGGTGAACCATTCTGAAACCAGTGGAATGAGAAAACAGCGGAACAGGCCAACGAGCCCACTTTATAAGCAAAATCATTGCATCAGTAGTGGGTTTACCTTCAAAGAAATGCGGACCACAAAGAATGCAAAGCCTTGAGAATCCACATAAAGCGACTTGGAAAAACTGCCGGACCAGATCCAGAAAAACGCCGGAGTTGGAAGTCCGGCAACGGACCCTGTAAAAGTGCCGGGCTGAAGTGAAGATCTAGGCATATATATATATATTCCATCAAACCATATCAAACCCACCATTTCTTCGCGCGGGGTATGAGGTGATGAGTGCACCTGTGAGTTTGGGTGATGACTGTACACATTCTATGGGTTTCCACCTTCCGCACTGAATGTTTGAGTGATTGGGTGGTACATGGGGAATACCGTTTTGAATGACAAGGGGGATCACTTCAGTTCTAATGATTACGCTGTTACTGTAAGTTCCCTTGATACTGAAGTGTCGCCAGTTGTGATAGTAGTAGCACCTGCATCTCCTGCAGTTACAGTAGGGTTGACAACAGGTAACATATGTCATCATTGACAACTCTAAAATTCAAGTTCCGAAGGTGCATAGCAAAAGGGACACGCATGGACTTTTTGTTGGACTTCTAGACCCCACAACACGGCTTACGTGAAACTGTTGTTGTACCTTCTCTAATTTCTAGATCCGTTTATCTTTGTTTTTTTTCTGTTTTTTTGTCTCCCTTCAATTGTTCTATGCCGATAATTATGAAACAGTTTATATACATGCGTGTATATGTGGCACCTCCATATGAAGAGTCTTCAAAACCATCATTTAGGAAAAGGATCAAACCTGGTACAAACAGGTATTTCCCGGGGAGTGGGGGGTGCCCTATAACTGGCTGCATGATTAAAAATATCGTAGGTCGTCTGGTCGAACTTCATATTTCCAAATTGGAAATGGCAACATTAATTTGACGTCGTGGGGGGTGCGTTAGAAATAAAAACAACGATGCGCTTTCCTGCAGCCTGATCAGTCGGCCCAGCAAACGCAGTGCGGAGCATTAAGACACTGAGGTGGGACTGGCTTCACGACATGCGACCAAAAGTCGTCCACCTGAGCTGCCAGGAGCGCTGATTTGAGCTTGGACGACCTGCTGACCAAGGCCAGGAAAAACATGGTTTAACGAATTTATTTTCAATAGTTTTTAGACGTCAGATTTGAGCCTTTCAGGGCCCCATAACACTTAGATTCCTTCCAGGCCCTTTCCCGTGGCAAAGCTCAAAATTGACGTCTTGAGAAGGCTTCCTGTTCCATTCAAGCTCACAGCGCTGTTCAGCAGCTCAGGGAAAGCAAGTGAACATCGTATATATATATACATATTATATATATATATACTTGATTTGTATATACACACATGCGCATTTTGTTGTTCAAACACGTTTGCACAAAAGGTCCGTGCGTCTAGTCTTTTCTGTCCGATGGACAGGCACGGCTGGAATTCCTCTACGGCTTGACTTTTGTTTAAAACACTTGTGATTTATTGAAAAGTTAATGGTGAAAAAAGAAGTCGCTTCAGCGCTTCATATGGATTTTGCACTGCATTTTTTTGCAAGCATGCGCTGCACGCAACATGCGCAAGTCTCGTTGGGCTTGACCCTCGCAGCACCCCCCGCCAAAAAAGAAAACACACAACAGCGTGGAAGCCTGTTACTGTTCTGTTAGGCACCCACCCACTAGAATCACCACCAACCATGCCGCTCACCAGCGACACGCCGCAGTTGCGCGCGTATGTGTTTATCACGGAGCCACACAAACGAACTTTCCACCGAAGCCTCGTCTGTCGCCGCATGGCACAACGACATCACCTCTCGAGTTTTTGAGTTGTTAGTTAGTTATTTATGTTAGTTTGGTGAGTCAGTCTCATGGAAACAAACACAAACTATCCACAAATCGATATTTTGAGGGGTTTGGTGAAGATCCTTCAACTTGGAGGTATTGTCGATTCGTGCTACGAGTTTAACACAATAATACTTACTTCATCTATCTTCATCTTAATTACTTCAATTATACTACATAGTCGTTTTAACTTTCAATATCTTTCCAAATGTCCTTCTGGGGGCCTCCTCTTCTGGCGACCCTGTGCTTTGAATGAACTGGCACTCGACCTGTGGGGGAGCGAAGCACGCAAACGTCACCGAGAATTTCCAACATCCGTCAGCCGACCGCACACCACATATGGCAAAACTAGCAGAACTGAGATGCGCTACAATGCAGCCCCACACCTCTCCATGCTCTTCCAATGCTTCGCTCGAGGTTCAAAACTCTGCGAAGCACTGTGCATGGACGGGGGACACTACAGTACACCTAGAGAGTGGTTGGCCAAACGCTGAATGTGCCCATCACATTCACACACTTGAGGCCCACACGCTCCAGCCGAAACAACATCACATGTCAGGCGTTTCTCTGTGCCCGAAACTGGAGTTCAGCGACCGACCAGCTTGGGACGCCCAGAACCAATGAGGGTTAGTCAAAATATATAGATCAAAATGAAGGGTCCCGGACGCCTCGAAAATGGGAACTTGGAGAGCCACCTTCGGTGAGTGTAACTCATCCAAGTGTCCCGAATACACCTGTGACTTGTAGGACTCTTGATCATCCCTCATGATCGCCTGCAAGTGATGTAGCGCAAAAATACGTAAAAATATCCCCCTTGAATGTGGAGCTGGATGTGGATTTACATTTCATAAAGAATAGGTCGAATAGGTGCTCTAAAATGTAAAACCACCTAAAATTCACTATAACATGTTAGACCACTGGATTTATAGAATGTGAAGACGCTACACGCCAACTTCAGCATGGCGGAGCCCGCTGCTTATAGAATGTGTTGACCCTCTGCGAAAACACTCAAACACTATAAGGAAATTTGTTTATGAATGCATTGATCCTCTCCCAGACCCTCTCAGCGGCTCTCTCGGAGACTCTCTCTGGTCAGGCTCTTGGATTGTTCATTTATATACAGATTCTAGTACAGGTTCATTTCTTCCGTGAATGCTTCGACCCAGTCTCCAATATAGCGGCACACAGACCAAACAGCAGCCTGACAAAAAGATTCATGTGTTTTGCACATCGACAGAATGGAGCCCGTAAGCCCGTGCTATTTATAAAATGTGTTGAACCACAAAATAGGCAATCCATCGCTGGTGTCTGCTTCAGAGAATGGTGCTTTACAGAATGTATTGACCCTCTGAAATATGATCCACTTCTTAAGGAACAGACCTTTTATACATTGTATTGACATGTATTGACCCTCTGCTCCAAAACGTTCGTTTTATGATGGCCCTCCAGTTTGGGACTATAAATGTATGGTCGGAGAACATTTTATAAGGGAACAGGATCGACATATTAAAAAAGTGTCTGATTCTAGGGGGGATGTAAAAATCAACTGTACGCATGCACCATCAATTGGGGTCCTCAGAGAGGAACTGCCGCAGCAGTGACTTTGCCCTCTCTTCGGTCTCTTCTTCCCGTGGCATCGATGATTTCATGCTTTCATCACCCTGAGAACCTCGTGCAATCGGCTGATGAGCTTGATGAGCGTGGCCACCAATTGAACCTGGTCCCATCGTCATGGCTGAAG